TAATCAATTTAATCATAATTTAAATTAATCAATTATTTTGTTGCAATAATTGATTATATCAAGTTAGTTGCATATCTCTATTTTACAATGCTTGTTAACTGTCTAAAATATGTAAAAGAAGTAGAACGACAGTTGTAAAATTTCTCAATAGTTTTAAAGTATATTGTAAGTAGCTTTAAAATTATAGTTTTTATTTCACATAATTTCTATTTCCAGGTTACAAAAAAAAATCACTTTTTGAAATATTTTTAAGGGCAAATTATTTTTGCAGCCCTGTTCATGTTTTATTTTATATATGTAGTCCTTAAATATTTTTATTCATTGTGTTTTAGATATTAGAAAGTGACTTTATTGCTTCATAACAGAGAATTTATTCCTCTTGAGATTTCACGTATAGAAAAATTCCAGTTTACTTGCCTTCTATTGAAAGATTTGGTAAAACAAATAACCTGTTATTCTTGGACTTTCTAGTGGGAAGAACCAGCAACCACGTCCCATACTGATGTTCCTAACTTTTTAGCTAAAAAAATGCAAAACCTTCGGCTGCGACAAAGATTTCTGCCTGCAGATAAGAAAAAGTAAGTATTTCTGTTCAATAATCTATATATACCAGTAATATGATACTGTGCCATATGGCAAAAGAATAAAAAATAAGAGTGCTGTTTAAGTAAATACCATGATTTAAAGCTATTTTTACAATATGCTATTTATTATTTTCATTATATTACTGTAAGAGTTTTTGTTTTTTTTTGGCATCTTATTGACAATTACCTATGCATTGTTTATGTAATATATATTAATGTTTAAGTATACAAAACTTCATGGATCTGTTTGTCAGACTTAAACCTTGATTTTAAATTGAGAAAACAAAAATTACATTCTTAATATATATATTTGAACTTGGGCAATGATAAACAAATTGTTGTATGTGCTTAGATTTAAATAAGTTTTGGAATATCTTAAATCTAATATTATGGGGATTAAAGAAAAGGCAATAAGAGCCAGGCAGTTTGACTAAAAGTTGACTTGTATTCCACATTTATAATTGCTTTCTTGAATTTTGAAATAAAATATGTGTGTCAGAAAACCTAAGGATATTCATTTTTGTTTTGTAATTAAAAAAAAGGATCTAATTTCATTCCATATTCTTGTTGTTCATAAGGTTCTAATTACAAGTTAGTATTAAAATTTCATTTATATGGATTATCAAAGATTTCACTGATAACCCTTAGGAAATATGAAGGCTAATTAACACATTAATTTTTGAGATGATAACTCATCTCTTCACACAGAAATGCTAATTTCCTCATGTGTCTGTCTATGACGAGCCTGGCATGGCCATATGGTTAGGGTGCTCGACTCGCAATCTGAGGGTCGCGGGTTTGAATCCCCGTCCCACCAAACATGCTTGCCTTTTCAGCCGTGGGGGCATTATAATGTGACGGTCAATC